GTGAAAGATTAAAGTTTCGTACTTAAAATGTTACATTTTGGTCAGTCAAGCTTACGTAGGGTATTACAATCACAAAGTATAATTATTTTCTTTTCTATACTAATATTATAAAGCTGAAGAGTTTGTTTGTTTGTTTGAACGCGCTAATCTCAGGAACTACTGGTCCGATTTGAAAAATTCTTTCAGTGTTAGATAGCCCATTTATCGAGGAAGGCTATAGGCTATATATCATCACGCTAAGACCAATAGGAGCGGAGCACCAATGATGAATGTTTCAAAAACGGAGAAATTTTATTACTATTGAGAGACGCAGACGAAGTTGCGCGGGTCAGCTAGTCTTTTAATAATATTACTCGTAACTAGCTGCGTTCCGCTCGCGTAGACTATGTTATAAAATAAATAAAAAAATATACCAATCGAATTGAGAACCTCCTCCTTTTTGAAGTCGGTTAAAAAATCTAGTGAATCGATTTTTATACTAAGAAAGAGACCATAAATTACAGACTTCTAGTTCCATAGACGTTTAAAGTGTCATTTTATTCTGCAGCTTTGTTATAGGAACTTTTTTCAAGTTTATTTAGGTCCAGATTTCGCTTTAACCAGAAATCGTACGTCGAAAAGAAATCTTTTTGCCGTAGCTCAAAATTTAAAATAGTTAAATTACTGAAAAGAATCGGGAGATGGAGCAGAATGTTAAGTCAGCAGGCATTGAGAGCAGAATTACTAAAATTTCTATGTTGATCCTACACTTAATGCGATTATATTTTGGTTTAAATAAATTAAAAAAGAAAGTCATAATCTTTGGGTACATCGTTTATTTTTTAACATATTTTCGGCCGAAATAATCTAATCAACCTATCTATAATGTTCTAGATTGTAGATTAGATTGTCAATTGAAATCAATGAAGTTTATTATTTCATTGATTTATTCACATATGGTAATATCAATCTTCAGATAGGTATCACTTGATTATTTAATTGTTTTCATTCTTATCGAGTTATCCGGCGAACTATTTTAATCCATATCTATAAGAACTTTATAAACGTCTCAAAAAGCTAATACCAACGTTGAGTCGTTACTGCCAACCTTCTAAGGGCCACATCGTAATGTTACCATAATTTATAATATTAGCATAGATCTTACAATGTTTGTAGTAGTATTGCCTTGTGGTATAATAAGGAACTTGGCTGTGTACATCAAACTATTTCAAATATAAATATATAGACGAATAATTTGACAACCGAATGGCGTAGTGGTTTGTGTAACGGACTGCGATTCCCGCTCAAGTCAAACATTTGTGTGCATGAACATTTAATGTTTGATTTGTTTTGGGTGTTTCTATGTATAATATGTACGTATTTACAAAAAAAAAAGTATATATGTATTTATATCAGTTGTCTAGTACCCATAGTACAAGCTCTGCTTAGTTTGGGACTAGATGGCGTTGTGTGAATGTGGTACAAAATTATTATTATAGATTTATTTAATTGAAAATAATTAAGAAAATTGTTGTCTACATACACATAGGGAACGAAAAAGCATGTTCTCCTGAATTTCTAAGCCGATTTTAAAAGATAAGTGTTTTATAAATATTTGAATTTATTTTAACCATTGACACATCTTTTTTTATCAATAAATTACCAGTCACCTCAAGTCATACCTATGTATTCTAAGCTACCAAATATCGTGTTGCTACATGGTCCCTGGAACGATCGTCACCACGGTAAACACATGCTCACAACTGAATAATGTCTGACGCGCACACTTGCACAAATACTGAAGTGTTGTTATTGTAGGCTCGCTGTACGTAGCTACGTGTGGTTATAGGCTTTTAGTGTGCGTGTCTACGGCTGTCGTCGGGGGCACGCAGTGCGGGCGGCGGCGGCAGTCTCGCCTGCCGGTCATGACATTGGGCGGGCGGGCGGATCAGCTGACGGCCGTATCGATTCCCAGGCCACTTCCTCTTTGTTCTTTATGAATTTTTCATAGCGAGCCACTAAGTTTTGTTATGACGCCCTAAGCTCGCACTTTACAAATACTAAATAGTTGAAGGTTGAACGCGGTGGTCTCGAGAATTACGCATCAGATTTTGAAAAAAGTTTAGGCATTAGATAGCTCAAATTATGAATAGACTAAGAGCAGTCGTTTTAGCTGCTAGTTAAAGAAACAATGACTAGTTTATTTATTTACTTGGAGGACTGTTAATGTCAGTCTTCTGGTGGAGTCAAATGTAATAATTAAGTTGATAAGTTATTAGAAATGGGTTATTTACCATTTTTTATTTTCGGAGATCTGTATATTATTATCATATATTTAGACATTGTCGCAAACGCCATTATCACGAATGAACTATTCATCCGTGGTCATGGCGCCTTGTTCATCGGTGATGACAATAAACATGGTATATATTCCTTTTTTAATAACATATCAATTAGATAATAATATATTGAACCTAAATTTACATTCTAAGTACCGACAGTTTACCTTTTCAGCTTAGCGATAGACAAAACATTATCATATATGAAATTTTACTTCGTACATATACAAGTAAGACTACTAGGAACACATAAACACATACCCATATGTTATGTATGCGTGTATACCTTACTCAAGTTTTCATGTCGCGTTTTAGAAGCCTATATATCCTCGCTTTCATGTTCCCTTAGTACCTAGGCTTAGCACACACGCGAACCTAACATGTTTCGTACAGTTCTCTCTACAGACCTAAAAGGAATACTTGAGTAGTGTCTAATACATAATAAATGTTGGGCAAACATCTAAATGAATACGCCCCGAAATTTCACGTCAAGTCATTAAACGTGTTCATGTTTAATTTGATTTAAATCCCTTGAGATAGTGCTATTTATGTTATACAAACTAGCGTGATATCTGTTGTTTTTTAAATAACAATGCATATTTTAGAGAAGTCGAATATTAAAAACAATTTATCATGTACAAGACTGCAGGCTACTGTTTTTTTTGGTATAGTGTAGAAGATAAATGAGCTGGCGGGACATCAGATGTGAAGTGACTATCTCAACTCATGAAGACCTTCAACTCAGAAGACACATGTGCGCTGGCGCCCTTTCAGTGTCCTCAACAGAATTAGGGAGGATAAAGGGTGAAACGTGACAGAGGAATTGCTTGGCAGCGGTTTTCTGTGAGGCCATGATCTCTCACATTTAAACGTGCCTTTTTTATTGGAGGTAGGTTAATAACCTGTGACTGTGGTGGTTTCTCGCGTCGGTATAATAAAAAAAAATCAACGCATTATAATTATATATCGTCTAAATATCATTGAAAATAACTTATATATGAAACTTGTATTGAATTGTGGTTGATTGACGTCATAGCATCCCCACGTAACTTAATATAGCTACTAAACGATGACATAACAGATTTTAATTAATTATTATATATTAAATACCATGTTTTAAAATAACTGTAGAATAATTATTACAGCGTGGAAATTACTATCGACTACTTTCTGGTTTGAGCCTCATTTAGTATTTTACCGATGTGAATCAACTCCTTACGTAAGCATTTGGCTTGGCTTTCAAAGAGTTCTAGCAACACGAGACCTCAGTTACTGGTTTTCTTACACAATGCTGAATTTATCAATAAATTGAATAAAATTATAACAAAATTAGCAGTAGTATGTTATTACACTAGTAGTTATACGACATGAAAAAAAATATATATTCAAAAGTCTTTTATGTCTTAAACCATAGGTCTGTTGAAAAAAAATAATATCAGGAGACCCTTAGGAGTCGAGCAGAGACTTGAAACACGTGTAAAATAAACTGCTTCTATGTTTGTGGGCACGTATGAGGAACCTTTTGTTTTCCTGTATATTGAATTACGTCAATTGGATACGATTAGATTAGATCTTCAACGTCATATCAGCCAATACCTAGTGATATTTATGATAAACCAAGTGTAAGTACTAATTTGAATATAAATAAAAACATCAAACAAATATCAAACCAACATCATCTGTTGTCATGGGACGATTTTTAATTCGGCCATTTTTTAAATCCGTTTAAAATCACCGATTAGTATTCTAAATTACGATACACATCGGTGTAATGTATATTAAAGCCATAAAAATATTGTCTTCACAAATATATATTGATACAATTTAATTAAATGTGGCAAAGGAAACGTTTTTTAAACGATATAAAAGATGGCCGCGTCCGGAAATTATTTTCAATTTTCGGCAGATCTGTTCGAAACGTATCGGTGCAAAAAACTACTTTTATACCTATAAGCTATTGAGTTTAAATTATGTTATAAAAAATTCTGATTATGACAAAAAACTCATCTGAAATAGAAAAACAATACTAAAATGTATCTGTCATTTCTATTTCTATTATTTGAAATTGGAATTCATGATTTGATTCATACAGTCACAGACAAATAATTTTATTTTGTAACCTATTTTTTTAAATATTGTTATATTATTTAACGTCGGATGTTAGAATATTGAGCTCCGTTCGGCTGTGAGCGTGGTTATTCCTGTTTAACGTCCAGACGGTAAGCTGTAATTTCCGTCGTATGTCAATACAAAATGTCTATCTAATATTACAGTTGATAATGCTGTAATCCACCAAATATTCAAAGCGTATTATCGTCGAGTTTTACTAACGTTTCATTGCGTACGTGAAAAAGTCAGGTTACTTCTGACAGAATAATATAATCGTAAATATAGTGATGTCGTTTTATTGCTCATAAAACGTGGTATTCTTATTCATTTATTACGACTAAGTATTAATTTCTGTAGTAAAGACGGGGAGGATAAGAACTGAGGCAGTTCACTTTTAGGTGAATACTAATTAGTTTATAATATTCTGAAGCCATATTTATGTTATTAATCCTCTTTTATGGCCCAGAATTCATTAAGTAATGTCGAAGGATAGGCTTTTCTATCACTGATGACATTTAGTTATGGGCTCCGTGGAGTAAAAGTCAAGTAGATGATGAGGAGGTGTGTACCCACCTGTATTAGGAGTGGAGTAGAGGTGATGCCGGGGTCCTGGACCCGGCGCCAGCAGCAGCAGTGCTCGGCTAAGTGAGCTCCGCGCCAGCGGCAGACCAGTGGTTTCACCGTCTACTGCAACAAAGAGAATCAACTGTTATCCTGCCGTTTTTGTTACTTAATTCGTTATTTGAAAAGTGTTAAAATAAAAAAGTTAGTATGTTGTTTTTTTTGTCTATGAGGAAGGGCGAAACAGAATTTGTATTTTTTTTGTATATTTTTCATACTATAAAGCACATCAGCAAATTCAAGGTGTTGCCTGAACGGCGTACCATACAAAATTTGATTTGTAAAATGGAAATTTAAAATATACATAGAAAATGCCTTTAAAATGTATGGTATAATCGATAGAATTTCATCACAGTCAGCCATTTTCATCGGTTAAATAATTAAGGATAGCTTTCAAGTATATTTCAATATTAAGACTAACTTTATTTATAAACCACTGTCTTTGAAATCAGAGGATTTAAGGCCTTAATCGAAACCAAAGACTTAGGCAAGTCGTTATTCAACTTATTTACAGGTTGAACTTCGTAAAACCTTGGGAGAGGTGTGACTAGTCTATCTTTTTGCTCTACAGACTATATTGTTATTCGTTTTTTATTTTAATTTGGTTGTATTTTAATTGACTTTTATTTTTAAATATTTTAAATATAAAATTATGTTTACTTTTGTTACAAATGACCTTATAGTTATTTAACATTTTGACAGTATAACCTCTAATCTAAGTATAACCCTAAATCGTTTATAAAGCAACATGGTTGAATATTGCCTCTAAATCAAAGTTTTAAAATATTTTGGTTTATAAGTAGTTCAAATATATTTCGTAAAATTTACGCTAATACCGTCTGTGAATGTTGTCATTAGAAAAAAAACACATTATTAACATCACTTTTTGACACATTGTACTCCAAAAAATTTAATTTGTATTCAAGATGAATTTATTCATGAAATTTCCTAAAGTTTAGGGACATAAATATTAATTAACAATAGTGTTTTAAAGTTTTGAAGTGAATTCAACGAATTAAATTTGTTTGTTGTCCATCTTAGCGGGATAAAAATTACATCACTTTGAATGCTACGATTAAGCAAAGAATTTTCTCGCTTTTAAGAAAACGGTTACCTACTGAAGATAAATAGGCATTTGCAACACCAGGGACATCACGCAAGTGTTGCCAACGTATAAAAAGCTCTCAAATTTATGTCACTTGTAAACTCTAACCACGAGTTTATGGCAAGGAGTAACGTAAAACCAGGACGACCGCGACCCAGTGCCACCTAAAATATCCATTTACATCCAACTTTGATCATTAAAGGACACTCAAAAACTTGACGGGTGCCGTGTACCTTGAAAATTACCGCAAAATCAATATAAACTCTATACAATCTGGGTACATCCTCGCCAGACGCTTCCGTGCGCCGACCTTGTACCACCACTCTCCCTAAAATATTCAACTACCCACCTGTTGTCTCGTTCTACCCCCGAGTATATATTGCGCAGGTTTGACGCATAGAGCAGGATGGCTGGTTTTACCCTTTCGCTTTTTCAGGTCGAAGTGTCTAGACGTATTTTGAACTTTTTACAGCGTCCACATTTGGTGGGTGATAGCCGTTATCAGTAACCATGCAAATGGGTGTGATCGACACGCGAACTGCACCGTGCAATGAGTTTTGTTTCAAAAGCAAGTACAATTTTATAGAACTAAATATTTTTCTTTTGAAATGCCAGTTTTATCTTGATATGAACTTATTTCAGGCGACTTGTATGTAGCACTGCTAAAATAACACGCGATATAAAATAACACATGCATAAATATCTTAGAAATATATAAGTATGTTTATCAGTAGTCTGGTAATACCATAGTGCAGGCTGTTTAGTTTGGGATCAGACTGCCGTGTGTGAGATGCGTTTAGTTGTTATTATTATATACTAAACACCTACAGTATTTTTAATAAAAGAGTTGCAGAACCAGTAATAGTATTTCATGATACATGTTTTTTTTAAATAGTCCTACAGTCATCTTTCATTGAAAAAAAAAGTTGAATATAACTTCATTGAAGGCGCCATTTACTCACACAACTATTACAGAATACATTCCGTATTACTCACGCAAACAAAATAAATTTATAAACTATTTACTTGTGAAATTCAAATCAGTTGCATTTGAATTACTATGATTTAAAAACAGACGCGAAAATGGGGACAATGCTTGAGTGGATTAGATTCCTTCTGGCAATAGTGGGAGTTTAATATCTTCTACTCTTAGCTTGGAAAATACGAACTGAATGCAAATTGTATTTCTACAAATAACATTTAAGATGAATCCCATACAATCAATGATGTCACACCAATGGAGTTTTATCTCATGCTGTATGCAGTAAACCATTTCAGACAGAAAATAAATGTCAGTACGGTTTCTAAAAATACTACAAAAATATGCAGGATAAAAGACGAAACATTATCAAACAAAGAAATTTTGCAGCTGGCTTCCCTTGTCTCTATCTAGAAAATATTCGAAAAAAGAATTTTTGAAGTAACAAAGTGGATTTTTCACATTTTAATCATGATTCAATTTCTTTTGCAGTGTGTCTGGCAGCTTCTAAAGGCATTCAAGTTCTATTTTATATATATGAGCTTCGTAGTGCAAGCGAATTGCCATCGTGAATTATTCAGCACTAGGAAGGAAGGTATTGCATACTTTAGACATTCGATTCACGAGTTCAAAGAACTCTGTGAATATTTTACGTGGAAAACAAAAATAAACTTATTTTAAACGAAATAGGTCAAACGGAAGTCTTACAAATTCGTCTATTGCTAAAAAAATATGAAATGAAATGTTTCTAAATGAATTTTCCGTTATAGCGATTTGTAACGTAATTAAAAAAGTATTTATATTTGTCGTTTTGAAAGTTCAAATTGCAAAACTTTTTTATTATTGTGTTCTAATTTTAAATATGAGAACTTGGATGTTGTTGTCTTTGATGTAATAAAAAAAGTTATATTTTTTTTACTATTGTGACACTAAACGGTATGAAGTTAACAATGCTTAAGCAATCAATATGATCCGCCATTACCTAGCCGATAACGCCTAACTCAGACAAAGACAAATTTCTCTTTGATAAATAACAATTTAGGTTATACTGGTTACACCCATGACCTAACGTTTTTGTCATTCAGGCCGACTAATACTCGACAAGAAAAGGAAATAACCTACAATAAAACTTAGGCTTTGTAACTCATTATTGTCGAACGCGATAATCAACATTCAAAGAAAAAAAATACGTGTGTTCTCACATTTAACTAGTAAGGATACGATACAGACTGGGTAACTTTGTACCAAAGCTCGTTTTATTACAAATACAAAAATTTTTACTAAAAAATATTTAATCATAAAACTAAGTAGTAACATGTATTCGTCGGGTCGCAAGCTCCTTCCTATAAAAGACCGCCACGAAAGCTAAAGCGTGCATTGCACCGAACAACATACCAACCATATTTCGCGTGTATTACCAGCTCAAAATAATAGAGCTGCAGGAAGGGGGTGCCGCCCCGTGCATTCACCTGACCACCCCAACCTCTGCATAACTTATGCAAGTTTGTTAATATTTCAGCTCAGCAGGAAAGTAAAAGTTGTTTTCAGTTAGATTACATTGAAGCTGTGTCTGAAGCTGACTCTTTATGCATACACTACGGTCCCTGTAGCTCTAGTGATTATACATAAAATTTGTTAACATTAATCATTTTATATACTAAAAAGTAGGTATGTCTATGGTGACGCTATTATGGGAAGTCTGTACGTGAATAAATTAGGCTTATGGTAAGTGGCTCCATTGACAAAAAAAAAAGATTTACACTATGAATAGAAGCCGCTCGAAATTCAAAACCTGTTTTAAACGTTCTTTAATAGCTTAATATTAGACAATCAGATAAAATAATTTGCGCCTCTCGTAAAGTGTCCCCAAACGAGAAATTTCAAAGCGTTCATATTTCTTAAATGAACGTAAATCGCTGTTTTAATTATTTCCTGTCGCTTTTTTTAAGAATATATGAAATCTTTAGCCCGGCATTTGTGCGAACTCTTTGTGTTGCTGCAAAAATAAGATTGCTAAATTTATAATTGTTGTATGCAGATGGGAGAGGACGTCACACTGCACTGCGGCCAATTGTAATTTAAGTGCTTTTTTTTTAAAATAATGGATTTTACGCGACAATGTCGTGTTCGGGGACGAAACGTATTGGAAAACGAGAAATTCTATTGGCATATTTCTTTAGAATAGGTGTTTGACGCAATCATTATCTACAGCAAGGATGTTTGCTACTTCTTAATAATAACAGATGTTTTGAAAGCCGAAAAATATTGACCGATCGTGCAAAAAACGCTTTTGTATATGAATCTATTAATAACAATATTATTAAAGTATGAAGTAATCCTGTACAATGGATTCATACATATATATTTTTCAGCTCTCCATATATCGAGCCGGATTTCCCCTGGCCTTTCCTAACTGGGTATTACCGTAATGGTCTTTGTAATGGCCGCTTGCCAGATTCTTAGTATACACAGGCCTATGAACAGGACGTCTAGGATTTACGGACCATAGATATTTGTTTTTTTTTAATTAGTCCAGAATTCGAGTAAAATTGTTCTTTAGTAGCTTGGAGTTTATGGATAATACATTAAAAAATGTTTCTTTTTTATACGAACTGTAATTTTCTCAAACTGTTAGCATAGTCATAAAGGTGTAACTCAAAATTGTCTCAGTTCCTGAGTTATGGTCACTTATATGGTAGTGTGATGCTCATGATCCAATAATGGTCATCGGATGGAAGTGGTTAGGACACAATAAGCAAACACACGTGCTATGATAACGTCACAACGAAGCAAAACGCGTTAGCCAATGATTTAAACCCATATTTTTTACATTTCAATTGTAAATTAGACCTTTCATTTTTTTAAAGTATATTTAAAAATGTGGTTAAATTACTTTTTTAATTGTCTGTAGTTTATTGATAATGTTTTTGAGTATATTCGCTTTTAGTTTTTATAAGTGAACGCTTGTTTATTGTGCCTTGT